TAGGCTCATATGTCACCCCTGGACTCCAACAAGAAACTATTGTAGTACTGTAATGAAATATAAGTGCAAGGTTTTTCCCTTGGTGTAATTCTGCTGTAGACTTGCGTATTCTCAGGGCAGACCTAGCTGTGAATGTGTGTAACAAATTGCCACTTTTGCTCAGGGAAAAGCAGCTCCTGTGTTAGCTAGGGATGATGGGAGTTGTAGTCCCAAAACAGCTGGAGGGCCAAGTTTGGCCATCACTGTTCTAAGGGGGTCTGGATGCAAAGGATATGCACTTTCTGAAAGACAGAGGAGGAAACAGCTCAAGGAAATTGCAGAGTGAACACACACAGAGAGATAAACAGGGCCAGCCTGCTCATGAGGCAAGATCTCTCCAGAACTTACTGCAGCTTTGCTGGTGCCACCACACAACCCAAGGAAGGGAGGCAGCGGCGCAGCATGTTCCTGTTTTGTCTCAGGCAGGAAAACTTGACACTCCACACTTGCGCGCGCACACACATACACACACTTCTCCAGTGCAAATCAACCCTCCCCAAAGCTATTTCCCCCCCACCAGAAATTGCTGTCAGGATTTTGTTACATGCATAGTTTTTGTTACATGCATAGTTCCACCCTCAACTTTCAAACAATACAGTATCAGGCTGTGTCAGAGCTTATTCTGCTGCCCGCACAAGGTGGGAATGGATTGTTATTGTTATTCTATATAAATAATAATGGCTGCTACGATGATGTCCCGTTGAGGCAGAAGCCGTTTAGTCATGCTGGCCACATGACCTGGAAAGCTGTCTGTGGACAAACACCAGCTCCCTCGGCCTGAAAGCGAGATGAGCGTCGCAACCCCATAGTCGCCTTTGACTGGACTTAACTGTCCAGGGGTCCTTTACCTTTTACCTTTACTTTATGATGATGAGCATTAGATGTTTGACCCTCTTCTTCAAATCAGCTGCTGGATAGTTAGAGTTCTATTTTTAGAAGCTGGGTTGCTGCTGAAAAGCTACTGGGAAAATTGTTTCAATTGTATCAGGTAAATGTATTGTATTTTTCATGCAGATGATTTCCTAAAAGGTATAAATATTAGGCTACACATGTGCCCCAAGATTTGCCTTGTATTTGTACTTTTAAAAACAACAACCAATCTGTCATTCTTTGCTCTGTCTTCACTCTGCTCCAATCCACGATTCAGACTTTGACCTGCTCTGCATATAACGAAGCTCCATGTTCTCCATTCACTTTTATGAGAAATCTAAACACAGCTATAACGTCTTTCACTTTTTTCAGAAGTGGAACACATTTGCAGACACAGGAACCTCTTCAGCATGAATTATGTCTGTCAAATTGCTGGGAAAAGGGTCTAGTGGATTTTGTGTGGGAAGTAAAGGGGATCAACTTTCCTCCATAATCCATATTAGGCCAACTAAAAAACCTTGTTAGTTTCATGTTTTTGAGGAGAGAGCAGGCGTTAGTCTCATGCTCTTTCACTTGTCAAAATAGTTAAGAGGTGACTGAGTTGTGTTGGATTGTTGCATATACTTTTTTTTTAAAAAGGGTTGGCTTCACACTAGGGTTGCCATATTTCAAAAAGTGAAAATCTGGACACAAAAGTTGTTCAACTTTTTTTTTTTTTGGCAGAATCTCAAAAAAAGAAAAGAAAAGAAGTTTTTGAGCTTTTTTTAAGAATGCAATTCACCAAAATCTAAACTTTCAACATGCATTGCCATATGTCCGGATTTTTCCAGACATTTCAGCGATTTCTGCCTGGACAGTGATTCTGACTATGTCCAGGAAATTCTGGACAGATGGCAGCCCTACTTCACACCATCTAGCTTAGCTTTCTGGTGTGAGGAACAGATGTCCTCCAGTAGGCATTATAAGTTGAAGATTTCCTGAAGTGTGCCTCTGGAGTGGTGAAGAAGCCCTACCCACCCAGCAGTGCGCGTGTGTGTGTGTGTGTGTGTGTGTGTGTGAGAGAGAGAGAGAGAGGTTGAGATTTTTTAAAAAGATAAGTTAAATTTTTACCTTAAAATAATCACTACCCAGTTGTATTTTTTCTAAAAAAAATCACCCATTGCTCAGTGCTATGCAGACAGCATTCAGGACAGCCCCATTTCTTGGAAACCCCATGAACCAAGAGAAACATAAATAGCCATAGGAAAACAGAAAAAAATACAGTATAAAAAAGTAGAGCACAGGAAGACAGAGCAACATGACTCTTTGTGGGGAGTGTTAATCCTACTCGAGGTGCTTTTTTGACTTGAGAAGGAGGAAAATTAACTGAAACCATCCTGCTTTACCTCATTAATCTGTTCCAGCATAGAGTCGCTTTGCATTGCAAATAAATATCATAAAAGTTGTGCCCATAGCTGTATGGTACAATTACTGTTAAGAGACTCTATCCTGCTACCTTCCCAACGTGATCTCTTTCTAATGTGGTCACCTTTTTAGCTGAACAGGAAAGTTCAGGATATTCAACACCCTCTGCACATGCTAGTAATAGATGTCAGTTATATTGGTGTCCAGGTGACTGCCCTGTGATCTGAAAGAACAGACAAGCCGCATTCAATGGCTAATAACATATTACAATAAACAGAGACATATATTTTAACAAATCAGTGCTGCTTTAGTTCTTCAATAATATACAGTGGTACCTCAGGTTAAGTACTTAATTCGTTCCGGAGGTCCGTTCTTAACCTGAAACTGTTCTTAACCTGAAGCACCACTTTAGCTAATGGGGCCTCCTGCTGCTGCTGTGCCGCCGGAGCACAATTTCTGTTCTTACCCTGAAGCAAAGTTCTTAACCTGAGGTACTATTTCTGGGTTAGCAGAGTCTGTAACCTGAAGCGTATGTAACCTGAAGCATATGTAACCCGAGGTACCACTGTAATGAGCATGTAAAGACTTTGGCGTCCTGGCCAATCCACATACAGTAGTAATTTTGAGGCTGTATCTATAGCTGTAGGCCTCAGTAGGAGGGTCTACACAATCTCCCTCAAGCATTAACAAAAGATGTGAAGCCATGTTGGCTAACCTTATGAAGGGCCACTGGATGAACAGCTGTGTGTGGATGGGGGACAGAGAGGGCATGGCCACCACCTGTGTTGATGGCGCTGAGGCTATTTAGCACAACCCTGTCACACGTTATTTCAGCAAGGTGATCTGAGTGAACCCTCTAGCATTTAGGTTTTTTTAGTTGTTTTCAAAGCACTAACCCTGGGTCTGAAATACATAAAGTCCCAAAGCGCTTGGATCCAGATTTTCATTCATATTATCCTTTTGCTGTTGGGAGATTATTCACATATCCCCCCCCCCCCCAATGAAAATGTTCTCTTTACACATCTGAGCAAATTGTAGCTACGGAGTCAGGATGTGGAGAATACAGAATGAAGTGAGGCAATTAAAGTACATTAAGCTTCTCAGTAGTAAAATAACAAAAGACGACTGTATCGCTTAAGTGGTGTGTATGGAGGCTGATGTCTCTCTCCTCTTGGTAGCAATGCCATATGCTTCAAAGGATGGCACAGGGCATTACATTATGAAACAATTTGACCTCAGAGAAAGTATCTAGCTTCTTTATTCAAAGGTTGGCGTCTTACGTAACTGAATTATAGTTACTGTGTTGTGTACAACCACATGAATCTGGGTCTCCAGTATCTGAAGCCTTCTACTACCAAACATACAAAAGTATCCCTCTCAATTATTCTTTTATTCCTGCATAAATGCTTGTCGATATTCTCCAGTGGCCAACTTGTCTGTTACACAAAATATTCTGAATCAGAGCCGTCTGACTAAATTTGTTGCATCTTTTTCCTTTTGTGTTTTTCCTATTAAAAATAAGCTGCTTGCATAGTGTTGTACACATTTGCATGTAACATGGAGTTTGGCCCTGGAAGGGTTAACAATCCTTAACAATCAGCTGGGTTAACAACTTCCTGAAGCCTAAGAAAGTGTTCAAGTACATTCACAGAATGTGAGCTGGCTTGCTGATGACTGTGCTTGGCATATTGCGCGGTACAGTATTTGGTTTTCTTGTTTCTGAACTGAATTTGTTTTAAAACTTCCATTTCAGTTACTGTAAAATTTAATTTCTGGATGACACCCCACTCAGGCTAATTTTAACATGCACACTGGTCAGCTTCAAACTGAACCCTCTTGTTGGAAGCTCTCTAATGTTAATCTTCTCAAGCTTTGGGTCACAACGATAGCATAAGAACATCTAGTCCAGCAGTCTGTCCTCACAGTGGCCAGCCAGTTGCCTGTGGAAAGCCTCCAAGCAGGACATGAACACAACAGCACTCTGTCCCCCTGTGATTCTCGACACCTGATATTCAGAGGAGCACAGTGGAGGTAGAACATAGCCATCATAGCTGGAAGGCTGCATTCATTCATTCATTCATTATACCGCCCTATACCTGCAGGTCTCAATGCGGCTCACAGAATAAAATCAGAATATAAAACCACAAAATACATAATCAAAATAACAACAACCCATTTTAAAAGAGCATAGGATGTCAGTCAAATCAACCAACAGCCTGGCTAAAAAGGAACGTTTTTGCCTGGCGCCTAAAGGTGTATCATGAAGGCGCAGGGCGATCTTCCCTGGGGAGAGCATTCCACAGATGGGGAGCCACTGCAGAGAAGGCCCTTTCTTGTGTTGCTACCCTCCAACTTCTCAAGGAGGAGGCACACAAAGAAGGGCCTCAGAAGATGATCTCAGGGTCCGGGTAGGTTCATATGGAAACGGGCGGTTCTTGAATCTATATAATCCTCTTTTAAAGCCATCCAGGTTGGTGGTTATCACTGCTTGTAGGAATGAGTTCTATAATCTAAAAACATGCTGTGTGAAGAAGTGATTCCTTTTTCAGTCTTGCATCATCCCAGTGCTCAGCATTGTTGTTTGTCCATGAGATTGTGTTATGAAAGAGGGAGCTCAGTTCCCAAACATGTATCACACGAGAGACAGTGGCAATGTACTTGCTAGCCCTGCCTCCTCTGTCACATCCTCTTGCTCAACCATGCCACTCTCCCATGCACTGGAAGGCAAATATAATAGAATCATAGAATACAAATCTATAATTCTATGTTATTTGCCTTCCAATGCATAGAGAGTGGCATGGTTGGAAGGGCTCCCCCAGGGTCATTTAGTCCAGCCTGGCCCATATGGGAATTGAACCTGTGACTTTGGCATTATTAGCATCAGACTCTATAACCAACTGAGCCAGTTTCTACAGTGGCAAATCTGCTGTACTCTCATAGGTCCTTTGGAAACTATAAAACAGGGATGGGAACCTGTCACCAGCCAGTTGTTGTCTGAAATAAAATAAAAATGATAAATAAAAAAATAAAAAATAAAAATATGCATCTCCTTCCCAGACCACTGGCTGGGGCTGATGGGAGCTGGAGGGCAAGAAGTTCCCACCCACAATTTCAGAAACTGATTGTGCAGGATCCTATCCTTGGGTGACTCTCTGGGTTGGTTTAGGCTGAGGAGGACCCTGCCCTCTGAGGCCAGAAGGCAGTCTCCTTTGTCCTTCTGGAAGAGGCAGGGCTGTCCCTCCATCCCCAGCCGACCTCCCGCCTCATGTCTGTGTTGTAGACGCAGTCAGTGCTCCTGTGATTCAAAGAGAGGCTGGGGGAGAGTAAAGACCTTTAAATTTTGTAAATTGACAGAGAAAGAACGGTGGGTGAAGAAATTCCCCCATCCCAGTTTGGCACACAGGGAGGTGTTTCAGAGAGAGATCCAGACTGCAGCTACACCCACTCCGTCTCTCATTGGCAACAGCTCCAGAAGCAACAGGGGGGCTGAGGTTAGCTAGTTGTGGAGCCTCCTGCAATTCTGGTCTTGTGAACAATTTGAATATGGCTAGTATGTGAAGGGAATGCGTGAACAAAAAACCTTCATATACATTAACTGTGCCTCCATATGGCATTAAATTTACAGATTGGCTTAGAAGTATCTCAAGCCCCCAAAGTTTTGAGACAATGCATTGCTATTCTTTCACTTATTTAAGGTGATATATACTACCTTCCATATAAACAGATGACAGCTTGTTTCACAGCAAGAAATGGCAGTAAAATACAATTGCAGTATTGTCTTTGCAAGTGTAAATTGCCAACAACAGTAACTCAAAGACCCATGATTAAAACAAAAGCTTTTTTTCAAATTCACCACAAACAATTCAGGCACCCTGAATCAGCATACTTGAAAATATAGCTTCCTTCTTCTTCCTTAGTATACAGAAAAAGGCAGTGTGATGCTGCTGCCTTGGCCCCATTGGACTTGTCTTGGCCCTCTTAGGAAGAAATAACCTCAAGGAACTGGCCTGAAGAGTTGCCATTGTGACTGTTTGGTTGAAGTTTTGGCTGGTGGGTAAAGAAGTTGCCTCTCAGCCCTTCATTCAAGCTGCAGCTCCTGCTGCTATGGCAACATCCTTGCGTAAAGGGCCGAGAGGCAGGAATAGGGCAGACGAGAACTCTGTTCACCTTTTGGCCTGCCAACCAAGCCACCCACCTGTGCCCTGGTCACACCTGTCTCCCCCTCAGCTCCATTCAGTTTAAATATTTCAGCTTCACTTTCCACCATGTGATTGTAAGCCCTTCAGAAAACCTGAGAGGAAACGGGCACCGCCTTTGCTTATTGAACCCTCAGCTTCACTTTGTGTTGGTAAACAGACTCTCTCTTATGCCTTTGGGCCAAAGCTTCACTCCTTTTACATCTGCCTTTTGCCAATTTTCAGACTTAATTTTGGCCATGGTAGATTGCAGTGCATAGCATTAAATGATGCATGAAATGACCTGTCACACTGCATTATGTGGTGCAGAAAAGCACACAAAAAGGGGAGGGGGAGAAAATAGTGTGAGGGGGGAGAGAAGAGAGTATTAATGGTGCACTTGCTATTCACTGGAAAAATCTATTCGCGCGGAGTGGCTTTGTTAATCTGTATGAATTTAGCAACAGCAACATAAAAGGAAGGAATGATTGGTACAGGTTTCCTCCACTAACTCGTTGCTGTAACTGGTAGCTATGATACTGTGCTTTTTTCCCCATGTGTCATTTGTTACAAATGCAGCCCTGCCAAACTTAGAGCTTCATGCTGGGGAAGTGATAGGAGCTAATACAAAACCTAATTGGAGTTTTCTTGTAGCGAGGGTAACGCTGTAATTTATTAGATTTCTAACCTGCCCTTCCCCCAAAGGCTTGGGGTGGGTAACAATATAAAACTAAAATCTGTATAAATAAAGCCCACTCGTTATAAAAAAACACTATCTCGAGTTTAATGTAATAATAACAGTACTTCAGATTTCACCAGTCTCCATCTCCCAAGAAATGGGCAGAACTTGTTCGTAAAAATTGCCCACTATTGTAGGAAGGGAAACATGTAACTCAAGGGTGGGGAATTTGTGGCGCTCTAGATGTTCAGAGAATCATAGAGTTGGGGAGGACCACAAGGGTCATCCCCCTGCAATGCAGGAATCTTGCCACTGTGGGGCTCGAACCCATGACCTCATAAGTCTTCCAACTGAGCTATCCCAGCTACTGGATTACAATTGGCCATGCTGTCTGGGGCTGAGGGAAGTTGCAGTCCAATAACCTGAGAAGGGCCACCAACTGCCCATCCCTGCACTAAGTGGCCCAGGTTTGGTTTTCAATACAGTGCTGAAAGTAGATAAGAAATTTCAGAGGCTCAGGTGGTCTCAGTGGCTAGGACTGTCTTTTTCCAGTTATGACTGTTTCGCCAGCTGCAGCCACTTTTGGACAGAAGTGACTTGGCTACTGTGGTGTCGTGGTTAAGAGACTCGTAATCTGGGGAACCGGGTTTGCGTCTCCGCTCCTCCACATGCAGCTGCTGGGTGACCTTGGGCCAGTCACACTTCTCTGAAGTCTCTCAGCCTCACTCACCTCACAGAGTGTTTGTTGTGGGGGAGGAGGGGAAAGGAGACTGTTAGCCGCTTTGAGACTCCTTAAGGGGAGTGAAAGGCGGGGTATCAAGTCCAAACTCTTCTTTTTCTTCTTCTTGTACTCCATGCACTGGTAAATTCCAGATGGGATCATTGTAATGCACTCGATGTGGGATTACCCTTGAAATTTCTATTGGTCCAAAATGCAGCCACCAGATTCCTGGCCGAGGTTCCATTTAGATTGCATATAACCCCTCTTTTTAAAAAGCTGCATTGGTTCCCGGTTTGTTTTGGGCCTTAATTCAAGTTGCTCATGTTAGTGTTTAAAGCCCCCAACAACTAAGACCTCCCCCCCCAAAAAAAATATTTGAAAGACCATCTCCTTCCCTACAGGCCTTCTTGGATCTGCAAATTTCATACAATTCTGATGAAAGGGAAAAGGCTACAGCTTTTTTTTCTTTTTTAAATGTCCCTATATCAAATTTGGACCCTGAGCTGAGTTGAACAGACTTCAAAGCTTTTTGGATTTTATTGGGCTGTTTTCCAAAGTGCTGAATTGGCACCCGAACTGAATCCTGTAGTTGGTGTGCACCCCAGTACATTATATCCATATGTTACCCATCAGCTCCCATATACATACACCCCCCATGTAGAAATTATGTCATGTCATTATATTATGTCGTTGATTTCAGTCTGTTTCAGTCCAGGCATGTTGATTTAAGATTACAGATTGGGCTGGTAGGCTGCCATTCATAACCCACTCACTCTACAGCGACTCATTAATGCCTTGGCTGCTGTTGCAAAAGGGCATCCCTTTAATATTATACAGTATCTTCATATCCTTTGTGGGCGAATGAAAAGAAATGTGGATAAAGAGTCGAGGGCAGGTGGTTTGTGCACTTCCCACAGCTCTGCCCCCATTTCTGTTGCATGCTATTGTTTCAGTCATTGTTACATGAACTGTCAAAACACAAAGACCTGCCTATCTTTATGTTACGTTAAGATATTGAAGTATTACACCAGAAAGCTGCGCCTGTTTCCAAGGCAACAAGTGCAAATAAATGTTGCTTTTACAGAGAAGCTGTGGATTTCCCTTCAGCCCATGATGAGTTTAGCAAAGCAAAACTATCACTCTCTCACACACGCCTTTTGCAGTTTGCAAAACCCAGTGGTGTTTCCCCTTTGGGTACTCCTCTGTGTAGCTTCATCATTTGCATTTAAAATCTTCCCTGTGTCTTATCCTGCATTTGAATGGGAGAAGACATTTCTAGGTCACTGTTAAAATATAATTACTACGGGTAAAAAAAGAAAAGAACCTAAATTTAGTTGTTAAAATAAGTCCAGAAGGGTAGCCATTTCAGTCAGTTGTAGCAAAAGCAACACAAAAAATGTATTGTGGTACCATAAAGACCATTGGTACCATAAAGTGGTACCATTAGTACAGTGTAAACTTTTATGGACTTAGAATTCACTTCATCAGATATATTATATGTTACACCGTATATACCTGCCAACGCAGGATAATGTTCCATGCAACTGATGAGGTCAGATCTCGTCTAGGAAATCTGTAATAAATGTCTTGGTCTTTAAGGCACCACAAGACTTTTTGCTTCTTAAAATGAAAATGCTGTTAGCTTGTGAGAAAAAAAAATGCAGGGGTGTTATCACCTGCCATGATGACCTTTATAATCTCAGAAGAGAGCTCAGTGGCATCAAACATAGAATATAGAGAGAGCCAGCCATCTATGGATGGGTTTGCCTTTGCTGCCCCTGTCTTTCTCACACGCATGCACACACATGTTCTCACAAGTGTAACACTCTGTCCGAACCTATTCAGAGCCTAAATCTAGAAGCAATGATTATTTATTAACAGATTCCAGCTCCAGAGTACAGCATCCTCCTAGATGCCCCCAGTACAAGCACATATCGTGAGAAAGAACTGCTTTGACTCATCAGACGCCTCTGTCTATACCAGCCTGCATTCATGCTTTTCGTGAAGCATGAGCATAATCTGAATCCCACTGGACAAAAGTCTTATTCAATAAAGCTTCAAAAATAAGGGAAAGCATGAAGACCAGAACTCCCACAGGTGAAGCTGTGTTAGTCTGTGCTAAAACAACAACAAAAACTTTTAGTATCTAAAAAGCTAACTATTTTTAAAATGTTGTAAGTCTTAATCGATGAGAGTCTCCACTTCATCAGATGCATGAAGTGTTATCCTCAGTT